GTGCGTGGGTGAGGTGCGTGGGTGAGGTGCGCGGGTGGAGTTCGTGGGTGGGGTTCGTGGGTGGGGTGCACGGGTGAGGTCTGTGGGTGAGGTCTGTGGGTGAGGTGCACGTGTGGGGTGTGCATGTGGGGTGCGCGTGTGGGGTGCACGGGTGGGGTGTGCGGGTGGGGTGCGCGGGTGATGCAAACGTCCACCACCCTAGAAGACAGGGGGCTGGCAGGGGTGCTGCCAGAGCAGGAATCCACACCCCACAGGGAACGCTGGCAGCAGCGGGAGCCGGCCTTTCTCCTGCAGACAGAGCTGGAGCCCTGAGGGCTGCGGAGGGCCCCCTCGCCAGCTGCAATGGACCCCCAGCTCGCCTCACTCTCCAGGGGGCTTCTGAAGAGGATGGGCATGCTCTCCTGGTTTGGGACCGCGTGATTTGAAGGTAGGCCCCACGGAGGGTCGAGAGCTCCATCTTGCTGTTTGAAAGCCTGGTTTCTAGTCTAGCAAGTTGCCAAGTCTCCCCAGGCCCCACCCACCAAACCTAAACAGTAATGCCACCATTTCTAGGCCAGCCGGAGACGTGTGACATCAAATGCCAGTGTCCGCTGAATGGAGGGGCTCCTGTGTAAGAGGTGACATCTTGTTACCAAAACAAGGCAGTACATTATCAGCCGCTAATCTGTGCTTAGTAACAAGCAGCCAGTAGTTATTAAACGGACACGACACTGCGTATTCCATGGACAGAGGTCTGCTCTGTGCCAAGCACGGGTCCAGGAACCGGAGTGCACGAGACCCCTGCTCTCCTGAGCCCACTCCCCTGGGGACAATATGCTGGAAATAATGAAGGTGATTTCAGACTTCGATGGAGACTGTAAAGAAAATAATATAAAAATGGAGTAGGGAGCCTCTGGGGTGGGAAGCGCGGCTGTTTCAGAGCGATGGCTTCCTTCCGAGGCGATGACGAGGCCATCCATGTGGGGTGGGGGGTCTTTTGGCAGAGAGCAGAGCATGTGTGAGGGTCCCGAGGCAGGGGCAGACTTGAGAGGCAGACAGAGGGCCTGGCCAGGTGCTGGAGCAGACTCAGGGCTGGACCAGGCTCCAGGTGAGTCGTTGGGACACCCAGCTATGGGTCACACTTAGGATCCTCTCCCCAGAGGGAAGTCACTAGAGGTTTTGGCAGGAAGCAACACCATCTGATTGATATTCTTTTCAGGGCGATTTTTGCTACAGGGAATGTGCACTTGCCAGAGAGATAGGGAGACAGAAATCAGCCCCCTAGGAGGATGGCCACGCCACAATCCCTGCTCCTCCATTCTCCTTTTGGGATTTTGGGCATGCCTGCACATGCTCCTGGTGTGAGTTTTAAGCTGCTGGGTCTAGGATTTGAACCATGGTCAACTACATGGCAGTCCAGTGACATAACCATTATGCCATCTGCTGGTCCCTCTGGCTGATGTATTACTCAGAGCACTTTGGCCCAGGAAGGGATGGCCTCCTGCGGTGAGGGCTGGCAGCCGGAGCAGCCCCCGAGGAATGCACACTCTTACCTCCATTGGGACACGCAGTGGCTTTTGCTGGCTGGTGGTGCAGCCAGGGTCTGAGCCCAGGGCTGGGACTCCAATTGCCGTTCTTAAACCTCCAGGATACTTCTCTCCCATCCAAAGCCTTTGGAAACTACTGCGGGCGCTGGTGTTGCTGGGTCCCAGGATGGGTGGCCAGAGTGGGTGGGCCGGGCTAAGGGTGAGAAGGGTGTTCCTTGCAACAGGGTCGGGCTGGCTGACTCCTTGCAGCAGGACGCTGTGCTCCACCATGCTGGGGGCTGCCTGTTCCATCGTGGGGTCCTTAGCATGGCAGTGGGTCCCAGTCTTCTGATGGTGTCTGGCCCAGGGCGCTGCACTGAGGCCTGCAGCTGCCACATGGCTTGCGTCCACATTCTGCCCAGGTTGCGAGCCGAAGGGTGGAGCCAGGCAGTTCTGTTTGACCACAACAGCTGCCTCCATGGCAACTGTCGTGACGTCACTGGACAAGCGACTGCAGGACGGCAGGGCTGCGGTGGCTCTCCGTGGGCACACACGTGTTTTCTCTGCTCAGCAGGCTTGGCGAATCCGGATGCTCTGCAGACCATTCGCGCCTCTGTGTCCCGGAAATAAGCCCACTTGCTTTTCATCCACTCTGACCGATACTTGTGACCACCTCGCCCTGTGGGTCCCAGGACACCTGCAGGCTGGAGGGGGCTGATGAGAACAGACCCTCCGTGCGGCTTCCCTCCGTGTGTGCTGCCGGGGCCACAGCCGCCCCAAGGCCAGCAGATTTGCTGCCCAAGGACCCCCTAAGGCATCCGAGCAGTCTTTTCTTAGAAACAGGAAGCGGTCTTCAGCCAAGTACAAACGAAGCGAAGCACCCAGAGCCTGAGGTCTGCTGGCACTTTGGTTGGAGGCCGCCAGGGAGGGTCAGCTCCTGGCAGGGCCGCCTGCCTTCACTCACAGAGCGGATTGATCTCAGCTGTGTCTTCATGGCGCTCAGCCCTCTCTGCATGTGCCGGTCGCAGTGCGTTGCTGCAGTGGGCCGGGTCTTACCAGCCCTACACCTATGGGTTGGTAGGTAGATGGAGGGGGTGTGTGTGGGTGTGTGTCTGGGGTCTTTGAAAAGTTCATTATGAAAAACTGTGCATGGGTTTCAGTCTTTTGTTGTACACAAATAAACTCATCTTCAGTTCCATTTCTCCACATTTCTGAGTCCCCGCTGTGTGTGCGCATGGGAATCACTGCAGTATTATCTGTTCATTATTTTTCGTAACCTCTTGCCTTTCCGTGGACAGCTGCTAATTGCTGGCAGGACTGGCCAGATTGCCGGCCTCCTGCCAGGGCAGTGTTCCTGGAATGCAGAGAGTGGAGTTGAAGGGAGATGCCTCCCTCTGAGTGTGGCAGGAGCAGCAGTGGGGGCCGTTGGGGAGGGGGTGCCCCACGTACCTCACTTGATGAGCTGCTTCAAACGTCGGTGACTCTTGCTGGAATTCAATAAAATCTCCATGTTCCTTGAGGACTGGGACCAAGGAGGAGAGAGTGGCAGGGTGGGGCGGGACACCTCCTCCTCCTGGTCTGAGACGTGGAGCCCACCTCTGTGACTGAGTGGCTTCGTGGATAGCATTCACCTCTCCCTGACTTCTCCCTCTCTTCAGCACGACTTGCAGTGCCCGCAGTGGTGGACCACAGTGGCCGGGCTTACGTGGGAGCGACGGCGTGTCCCACACACCTGCGGTACCACCGGAAGTGGCATCTCGGGGCTGGGGTCTGAGTGCCGTGTCTCGCCTGTGCTTTGCAGTCCCCACCAGCCGCCAGTGTCCTGCTGGCCTCTCGGGGTTCTTCCCCAGGGGCCACACAGCTAGAAAGGCCCAGCCCAGGGGACTGCAGCTCATGGCAGGTGTCACCCGAGCTCCAGGTAGTCCCACTTCCCTCTGCAGTTGCTGTGATGGGCAGGGCAAGAAGTCTGAGCGGTGGATCCTTGTGACTTCGAACGCAGCCTCTGTGTTCTCGGAGCTGTGGGTCCCAAGCCCTGACGGGATGCTTTTGTGCACGTTTTGTAAAGGGTTGGGCCAGGTGATGAGTTTGAAACACCCACTCCCCCCTCAGGGAGCAGCAGCTCACCCTGAGAGGAGAGGGTGGCCACCCTCCAGCTGCCCAGTGTACACTGGCCACAGGTCTTACCCCCACGGTGTGGAGGCTGCTCCCCCCGGCAGGGCACGTGGGCTTTCCACCAGCCTGCCAGCAGGGTGTGGTTGCTGTGGTGTGGTCCGCAGCTCGTCTGCAGCAGGGTCACCAGGCAACCAGCAGAAAGCAGGACTCCTGACGCAAACTGGACCTTGCGGGGGAGGCTCTATATCCTGTTACCAGCCGGGGCTCCAGGCCTGGCTATGACAAGGGCGGCTTGCCTGAGGGTGGTCTGGAGATGGGGCACCAGCCCCCTGGCAGGTGCAGAGGTCAGGCCAAGGCCTGAGGTGGACACCCAGCCTTACTCCCGAGTGGGGCTCCCCTCTGTCTGATGCCATTTGGGGCACTTGCCTGTTGGGAAGCAGCCCCGAGAATTAACTGTGATGTTTAGAATCAGCTCCAGCCTCTCGCTTTTGCCGTGGTCCAAGTAGATGCATTCCCACGTGGAGCGTGTCCTCTGCCCCGCAGCTGCAGCTGGCGCGAGGGCACTACAAAACGGATTATTTGCTGGAAAAAAGGTTGACATCCATCCGTAGTTTGTCCACAGTATGTGCCTTGCCGGGACTTGGTGAAGATCCCTGCGTGGTAGCTGGTGTTGCCTCCGTCTTAGAAAGGGGGAAATTGAGGCTCAGAGAGCGAGTTACTGGTCACTGCTGTCTGAGTAACTCGTGGACAGAGACCAGCCTTGGCCTCCTCCCGCCTCCAGCTGACCTTCTGAGCCGATCCCTCTTTCCCAAGGACTCTGCTTTCCCTCCGAAGCCTAGTTAACCCAGTTAATTTCAAGTGTAGGAAGTGCCAGATACAGCTTGGCAGTGAGTGACACATGCTGGTCTTCAGGACACTCTGACCCCGAGGGACAGCTGGGCTTGTACCGGACGTGGGCTGCTGCCGGAGGAGGTCGGGATGCTGCAGAAAACAGTGCAGAGTTGAGGCCAGAGAGAGCCGGCGTGTGTGCTGGGGCTGCAGCAGAGATCGCTTACCCAGGGGCGTGGCCAAGCCCGTCGGTCGGCCTTCCGTCAGAGCCCGAAGGAGGCCGGGGAGCCTATTGGTGCCCTGCGGCCCACACCTCTGAGTCGGGGAGAGGACATGGACCCAAGTCTGTGGCGCTTTCAGCTCATAACTGCCGCTGATCTTCGGGTAGATGCACCTGCTCGGGGCAAGGCCCTTCCGAGGCAGGGGCTTCCTGGCCAGCACCCCTCAGAGACCACCTGAGCCTGCCAATAGCCCCCAGAGAGCCCGACGGCCTGTGCTAGCAGTGGTGTGTCTTGTTACTTGGCTCTGATTATATCTCACATCAGGCAGAGGACGGAGCCCGGGAACCGCAGTTAACACGGGGCGTCTGTGGGTAGAGGTGGGGATGGGGACCAGTACTTCCCGAGTCTTCCCGACATGGAGACTGCATCAGGGACCACAGGGCGTCCACTGAGCCCTCTCACGACCCCGTGTGCATTCACGTTCACCTTCCTGTGGCAGAAGTGCCCCTCGGTGTCTCCCCCAAGGTCCAGCCCACCTCTCACTCCACAGCTCAGGTCTCGACCATCGTCCTGAGGAACAGAGGAGACATCGGCGAAGGCGAGAGCCGACGGACAGGAGGCTTCAGGGAGCAAAGCCCCTTTCCCCAGCCCTGCAGCTCCATGGGATTCTGGGCCTGCATGCACACCTGACGTGTTTTCAGGCCGACCCAGGGAGCCGCACCTGCTGTCGGCCACGCGGCTTCTAGCAGGGCGCCGTCTCCGCTGCCACACCACGGCTGGGCCAGCACGTGGTTACTGGTATGTCATGATGCTTGCTGGCCTCTTTCTTGAGGACGGTCCCCTCAGTTCCCACGTGGCCATGCATGCAGAGACAGCCCTGGCTCTGAGGCCGGTGCCCCTTATCCCTTTGTCCTTGGATCGTACAAGTTTGCTGTCTCTGGAGGGACCGGGCTGGCGTGGGCCCTGACACAGCCCAGGGTGTTGGCCTCTGGCCCGAGCTTTGCGTTTCCCTGACC